CCCCAAAACCCCAAAACCCCAAAACCCCAAAACCCCAGCACTGACCGTGGAGGTTGAAAATTTGTTCGAGATTTTAGGAAAATTTTAGATTTGTTAAGGAAATTCAGGAAGAGATTTTGGAATTTTGGTTGAGAAGGAGTGCAGGCTGAAGGGGCCCTGGAAATAGGGTTGGGGCTTGAGTGCAGAGATTTGGGGTTAAGTGGAGATTAGGGTCTTTTTGGTATTTTTTCGACTGAGAATGAAATTTTGGAAGGGAATTAAATGATGTGTTGTTTGATTAAAGAAAATAGGAGAAGAAGTCGTAAGTTTTGGGGAGGGAAGTTAGTGAAATTCTGATAGAATGATATGAAAATTGTATTATTAATATGCCCTTATGATTCATTGTAGAAATGATCTGACTGATTTCTGAGCAGAATGAATTTATTGGAATCTAATTACACTTAACTTTCTCTCAATACAAGCTCTAACTGAAAGTGCCTTAAAAGAGTTTTAACCGACAAAATTTTGGTAAAAATTAGACCGCTTAATGCATGAATAGCTGCCACTATTCATGTAGATAGAACTATTAACGACTAGATAATGATATTAATCATCATCTTCCTCATTTGATAGGATTTTTATAAGCCATTCAAAGCCTGAATCAAGGCCTTCGTCTTGAATAGCAGAAGCCTCTTGGATTTTTATTGGTCTTTTATGCTCTTCTTCAACAATTCCTAAACTTTTCCTTAAATTGTCCACTCCTATTGCTTCAGGAATATCTTGCTTGTTTGCAAGTATCAAAATTGGAATTTCAAGTAGCTCCGGTTCAGCTAAGAGGTAATTCATCTCATCTCTGACTAGCTCGATTCTTGAGCAATCGGTTCAGTCAATGACAAAAATAATACCTCCTGTATCAACAAAGTAATGCTTCCAGATCTTCCTCATGGTCTCTTGGCCTGAGAGATCCCATACATCTAAGCTGACGTTCCTCATGACCACCTTTTGGTGGTTATACCCAATAGTGGGGACTGGTTCCCCTTCCATTTTCCCTTGTATTTTCTCTAAAATTGTTGTTTTACCAGCACGGTCAAGCCCAAGAATCAAAATTTTGAAGTTATTGTCCTCTTTCCTAAACAATTTATCCCAAATCGAGACGAAGACACCCATTTCTCCTCAATTTTAATATTTATAATCCAATGGAACTTTTCTCAAGAGGGGTTTTGGGGTTTTGGGGTTTTGGGGTTTTGGGG